ACCTAGCGCCTTTCCGGCTATTACCGTAGGCGGGCAGTCCCTGTGTATGGATTGCCCTACAGGGCACCCGTTCAGCTGCCGCCTGGCTAACCACAAGCAACCCTCCCGCGTTCTAGACGCTACAACGCACATTTTGATAACAGACAATCTTACTTTTCCATCCTGGCTTTCTTCCGTCATATAACACCCCTCCTTTCTCAACTACTACGCCTGCACCAGCGACACTTGTCTCGACCGCCTGCGCCTTTGCCGACCTGTCGACTTTTACACAATCTACACCGTAGCCCTGCCAAACCCCCGTCTACCGCAAAAATGAGCGAAATTGCCCATCCTACCATCCAAGGTTCGTGCGGTCCACCCTCGTCTTCCAACCATCCATCCCTTCCTCCCTCACTGAGTCTGTCTGCCTTCCTATCTGCGGCTGCCCAGAACCCCTCTGTTGGTATTGGCGTTGGGTGATGTTCACAGTTGCTGGCGCTACTCGCTCTCCCAGCTCCTGTTGTCGCCCGTCTCAAAAACCCCCGCCATGCTGATGTCTTGATCACCCCGCCCCTGACCACCTTGGGGGGTTCGCTATGAGCCCACGCAAACGCAACGGAGGACGGAGAATATCGCAACCGGATGCGGGCCCCATGGGCCTTGTCTCATCCGTGCCTGCACCTGTTCAATCGCCAACACCCTCCCGCAACTATTGACGGGTGGCTTATCCGCCCTCTTCCGGGTCCCCCAACAACCTTCAGCCCTTGCTCCTCTACCGTCTGAGCGCGCATGCACCATCCATCCATGCCACTTTCGGTCAAGCAATTCAGCAGGAGAACCCGAGAAAGCTCTTTTTTTTGGGGGCGAGGGGGGGAGGGGGGTTTGCAGATCGCTCTTCGTGTATCTCTTGGGGATGGATGTAGCAAGATGCATGCTGTTTATGGAAGCAAATGAGACCAACGAGTCGAGACCGTACGCTAACAGGATGGAATGATGTACAGATGGCTGGTTCCGTGAGATTTCCAACATGTGGCCCGGTAAGTTGACCTATTCAAACATCGTGAGAATAGGGACACTGCGTGCTGACGACCTGCAACAGGCCAGGCCATGACCCTCAAGGTTAAGAAGGTCATCCACCACGAGAAGTCCCAGTACCAGGATGTCCTCATCTTTGAGTCCACCGACTACGGCATGGTTTTGGTTCTGGACAACGTCATCCAGGCCACGGAGCGTGATGAGTTCTCCTACCAGGAGATGATTACTCACCTGGCCATGAACTCCCACCCCAACCCCAAGAAGGTCCTCGTCATCGGTGGTGGTGACGGCGGTGTCCTCCGTGAGGTCGTCAAGCACGAGTGCGTTGAGGAGGCCATCCTCTGCGACATTGACGAGGCCGTCATCCGCCTCTCCAAGCAGTACCTCCCCAACATGGCCGTCGGCTTTGACCACCCCAAGTCCAAGACCCACGTCGGCGACGGCTTCAAGTTCCTCGAGGAGTACAAGAACACCTTTGATGTCATCATCACCGACTCCTCTGACCCCGAGGGCCCTGCCGAGTCCCTCTTCCAGAAGCCCTACTTCCAGCTCCTCCACGACGCCCTGAGGGAGGGCGGTGTCATCACTACCCAAGGTTGTACGTTCCCATTTGTTCAGGAATATCGAGGGGAATCAAGGAAGTCTCGGGTCCCTGAAGAGAAGACAACGAGGCTGGCACTCGCAAATGCGGTGCCTGCTTCTTCTTCTTTCTTCGGACCTGTCCTCGATTCTCCCCAGGAGATATCGGCGCACAGCCCAGTGGCGTGCCGTTGAGACTGGGTTGTGTGAACCTGGATACGCTTTGAACTCTCCTTTGTCTACTCTTCTAAAGCGTTGCGCATGCTCGAGACTGCGATTCATTCTTTCCTCCCTTTTCTCTGTCTACCCGCTTTCATTCCGCCTGGCTGCCATTTGTCAGAGGATTGGCTCTTGTACAAGAAGATACGTATAGAGACCAGGACTAGCTAACAATTATGCGCTTCACCCAAACAGCTGAGAACCAGTGGCTTCACCTGCCGCTCATCTCCAAGCTCAAGAAGGACTGCAAGGAGATCTTCCCCGTCGCCGAGTACGCCTACACCACCATCCCCACCTACCCCAGCGGCCAGATCGGCTTCATGGTCTGCACCAAGGACGCCGGCCGCAACGTCAAGGAGCCCCTCCGCAAGTGGTCCGCCGAGGAGGAGGAGAAGCTGTGCAAGTACTACAATGCCGATATCCACAAGGCGGCCTTTGTCCTGCCCAACTTTGCCAAGAAAGCTCTGGAGTAAATCTCGCGCAACGAAGGTTTAAGAGGAATGGATTCATGACCTGGTTTGTGGGCTTGGACAAAGGCGGTCGATCCCTCAGAATGGAAAGGACGGGGGATCTGGTAGAGATTGTCAATAGATGGGATCGGAAGAAGGGGGACCAAAAAAAGTTTAGTCGTAAACCGCAGAGGTTGACTCCAGCGTGCTCAATATATTTTTGTTGAGTCCAGTGTGTTTTCCTGTGATTTTATCACAGTGAATCTATGTTGAGATAATAACTCCGCTCCCGGGTAACCGTTGTCGCCAACTCCATGTGTACATCCGCTATTGTTCTTCTCCTATCCAGTGAGCTCTGCAACGTCTTCTCATCAAATAAATCTGTGCATGCAGCTCCGGCTCTCATTCCCTTCCTTCATCACCTTCTTCTACCAATCACAACCCTCAGCAAGCAACACAGCAAGCCTCTCCAACCAAACCCGATCAACCTCATCAAACCCGTCTTTTTGCGCACAGTCAACATCAATAATAGCGACCAATTTCTCGCCTACGACAATGGGCACGACAATTTCGCTCTTGCTGTCACCGTCGCAGGCAATGTGACCGGGAAAGGCCTCCACGTCGGCCACGAGCTGGGTTTTTCGCGTCGCGGCAGCGGCGCCGCAGACGCCGCGGCCAAAGGGGATTTGCTGGCAGGCTACTTTGCCCATAAAGGGGCCCAGGATGAGGGACTTGGAGGGCGTGGGCGTGGGCGCCGCCGGGTCGAGGACGTAGAAGCCGGCCCAGTTTACTGCGTTTGCGGGGGAGGGGAGGGAGTGGTAGGCGTGCCAGAGGAGGGAGGCTGTGTTGGCGAGGTTGCTGTATGAGAAAAGGTGGGATTAGTCTTCTTTTTCTTTCTTTACTTTTCTCCCTTTTTCCTTGGTGTTGTTTCATTTTGGATGAGTTTTGGATGGAGTTGTTGTTGTTCTTACGCAACCTGTCCAGAGTGTAAGTTTAAAAGTGTTCATAGTGAGGTACGTGGTGGTCTATAGTATGAGCCAAAGAGGTTTGGGGATAAGAGTGATTTCTGTGGCACCTAGGAACACACACACACACAAGACACACGAAAACGTACCCAGTTTCTTTGGCCGTCGAGGAGACCTTGCGCTTGGAGGAGGACCTGTTCGTAGGCTTCCTCCTTTGTCACGCCGTCGGCAAAGTTTGACGCGTCGGCGTGGACCTGCGTTGGCGAGGAGGTTCTCCGTCAGTATACCGACCAAAAAAAAAAAGAGAGGCTTTACAATAGTTTTGAGAGGGGCGGCTGTTTGGACTCTTACCATTGTGTCGGAGGAGGACTATAACCTGTGATTATATGAAAATGGGAATAAAGGAAGAAGCACGGTAGCAAAGTTATGTAGAGGGATATCGACACTGTCTCTAAAAAGGTAACTAGAGACTAAATCGAATGAGCTGCAAATGACAAAGCATGAGATGGTTGTTTGAGATAGGAAGAGGGCGGCCCCTCCAAAATATTGTGTTCAAATCTCCTGGTCCAATCACGTCATCTCCTTTCTCGGTGAGGCACGTATCGGCGGGGGAGGCCACACCCCGGTGAGGGCCCCCGAAATTTTGGCCAGCAAAATATGGAAAAAAAGGGATTCTAGTGTTGCCTGCCTTGCCGCCCGGCCCTAACGTTCTTGAAGACGGAGGATCGGGACCCGGCCGGCTCTGGGTGGAGAAAGTCTGCCCTTGCCAACTCTACGGGTTCCAAGATCTTTTCTTCAGGTCCGATCCCGTGGCTAGAGGTTGGAGGTTTTTGATTCTCTTCAATTGCTCTCTCTACCCCGCTTCACAAAACCGAGCGTGCCGGGCTGCTTTCTTTGGAGGGGGTCGGAAGGGAGGGAGGGAGAGGTAGGGTGTGAACGCTTTGTAGTTGGCGCAGATCACTTCCAACAGATTGACCGATGTGCATAAGAGAGAGAGAGAGAGAGGGAGAGGCGACACTGTACACTTTGAAGCCAGACCCCAATTGTGATTTGTTTTCAGAGTACGAACGTCCCAAGCTCCCACCCCAGGTCGGATTCGGGTGAGACTCCGCGGTCATGACTTCATTTCCGCCGAAACCCCGCGCGCCTGTTTTGTGTGACAGCTTACCTACCTGATAAGCTAGCTCTGCATGAGCATTAGATGTTTATCTACCTAGCTAGGTAGCTTGGGACTATCCGTATAAGAAGACTCCGTCTTTCCCGCCTCTCTTTACCACCCCAATCTGTGCAACGGTTCCGTTCTGCATATGACTGCAATTGACACTGACATTCAGGAACCCCCACGAATCAAAAAACATTGTCGGCATTGAGCTGTTTGAATCCGTTTACCACTGATATACCTTGCGTATTCAGCCCAGGTACAACTCACTACTCCCATCATCTTCAACAAAAAGCGACACATACAAGCAGGAAAGAAAAAAGAAGAAGAAGAAGAAGAAGGAAAAAATGTCGTCGAAACAACAACAGGCACCCCGCTTCTGCGCCGACTGCTTCAAGGGCACCCTCCGCGGCGACGTCGAGCCGCGCGGCACCGAGGAGACCCTCTACGGCCTGCCGACGTACGTCGCGCGCCCGGAGCCGGGCCGCGGCGAGCCCGCGGGCGTCGTTGTGATCCTTCCAGACGTGTTTGGGTGGACGCTGCGCAACTCGCGGGCGCTGGCGGATGCGTACGCCAACAGGATCCCTGCGGTCGTGCTGCTTCCCGAGTTGATGAATGGTACGTTTGACTGGAAATCTCCCGTCATTTTTTTGTTTTGTCAACGTTTGCCTTTTTGCGAATCCGTATTTTTTTTGGTCCCCGTGGTGTTGTTGAACGCTGTATTTTTGCCTTGTCTCGAGTGTTGTAATTGGCATCCCAGAAAGAAACAGAAAAAGATGAAGAACAAGAAAAATGTAGAAAAAAAGAAAGAAAGGCATCTCAGAGTAGCAGACTGGGCTATGGGCTATCGCAAAAGTTTTACACCAAAAGAGAGACTGAAAGCCCGCTGACGCGCGCGCGCGCGCGCGCGCGCGCAAAATAGGCCACGCGATACCAGATACTGTGCTGGCCTTGGGCGACGGGATACAGGGCCAGACGTCGTGGTGGAAAAAGTATCTCTACATCGCGCCCGTCATGATCGCGACGGTGGTGCGGTACTTTATCCCCCTCGTCATCGCCACCCGCTCCGGCGTCATCGTCCCGCGCATCAAGAACTATCTCCGCGCCGTCCGCCTCTCGCCGCCGTCCCCGCTGCCTCCTCATCCGTCATCGTCCTCCCCACCATCTGTCGACACCGGGGCGTCCGCCCCAAAAGCAATCAAGGTTGGCGTCGCGGGGTTCTGCTGGGGCGGCAAGTTCGTGGTACAACTTTGCCAGCTCGCTGCGGGACCATTTGGCGGCGGCGGTGGCGGCAGCAGCGGCAGCGAGGGCGAGGGCGAGAGATTGATCGACTGCGGGTTCACGGCGCATCCGAGCTTCCTGACGCTGCCGAAGGATCTGGAAACCGTGGTGCTGCCGTTGAGCGTGGCGAACGGGGACGACGACATGATGATGCCGCGGGCCAAGATGGTCGAGGCCAAGGAGTTGCTGGGGAAGAAGGGCGGCGACTTTGAGATTGTGGAGTACCCCGGCGCCAAGCACGGCTTCGCGGTGAGGGGGGACCCGAATGATCAGAGGCAGGCGGATTTCGGGATGAGGGCCGAGGATCAGGCTGTTGGGTGGTTCCGGCGGTGGTTTGGGCAGGGTGCTGAGTGAGTGATGGTTGGGATCGGCAATAGTTGAAGGAGGTTGATTTGGCGCGGTTTATTTTACATCACCTTTCAAGTTGTGGAATTCGTGAGAGGGATATGTTTGCTTCTTTTGTGTAGGCTGGGAGTAAGTTCCGCGAATATGGGACTGAGACTGAATTCGGACTGGCCAGTGTTGCAAAGTACACGATCTCCCCTTGACGCACGAGGTATGAATTCTGGCAGTAGCCGGAAGCTTTCAAACTCAACATAGCTTACAGCTAGGTGAAAAGGCTTTACTAGAGAGTCTTCAACAGAACCAAGCCGACCGACAATCCGCACCATAACATCCAAAAGTTGCAAAACACAACTAAAAAAATAAGCCTACACAACTCAGCATCACAGGAATCACAACAAGGATGTTGTCAAGCATCAAAAAGACAAAAGATTTAGGCTCTCTCCCCTTCCAGAATCGAACTAGAGACCTTTCGATGACAAGAGATGAACAATTACAGTCGAACGTGATGAACCAACTACACCAAGGGGAGTGAGAATCAAGGCTGGGCCTTGCTCGGTGTGTCAGACAGAGCCGAGAAAATGCCTCATGAAGTCTTGTGGTGACCCACAGGTTGATCCGCAATTTTGGGGTTGTGATTTCGGCTCTCTGCAGACTACCCTAGGTCAGCGACCCAAGTGGGCTTGTCTGCCCCATAATATGGCCATATTGAAAGAGATTTGTGTTACTTTCATGTAAGCCATTTCAGAGTTACCGTTGTGGCGGTTCATGTTGACATTTGTTATGTAGCTTGACAGCTCGCTGACGGGGAAGACTCGTAGAAGAGGAGCCTTTCCTTCGCTTGGCTCTGCTCTGTATTAGTAACTCTATATACACTGAAACTCTAATACAAATTGTCTTACGGGGGGATTCTTCCATTGCTCCTCCTGAAACAAGGTAGGTCATCGGAGTTGAACGTTGCCGTTGACAATTCTAACCAGGAGCATATTGAAAGCGAAGTATTCACCTACTATGTAGATGCTACGGATACACGTGTCAAAGATTGACTATGCTCAAAGAGTCAAATGATCGCCCCAACCGTCCAACCCAATTGTCCAATAGCCTACACTGGATAGTCACGCCAAGGGGAAAGGGTAAAGCTTGATTCGGCGAGAGCGGCCGCTCCCCGGACCCGACCCGGCGGGTGGGATTGAAAGGTGGGGCCGATGCAAGGGGTCCGCGCCGATAAGCGATAAGCTTGTAGGTAATCAGTGACGAAACCAATTAGCCATTTTTCTTTAATTAAATTCGATATTTTGGCCATGCCCATTGGCATCCCGCGCGACCCGACCCGACCCTCGTTTACGAACCTCAATCCGCAACCCTCAACCCTGAAGGTTCCCAACAACCACAACTTTCTCACGCGTCCCATGCAATGAACCACGGCACGACGCTGCGCGCCATGCGCGCTCCGTCCTCTCTCCTCTGCGGTAGCAGCAGCAGCAGCACCGTCCACACATCCTTCCTCCTCTCTTCGATCGCGCGACAAGCAACCCCCTACCGTCGGCTAGCGAGCTCCCTCACGCCCGAATCCTCCCCCGCGAGCGACAAGGTCAACGCCATCGCCTCGTCCCGCCCAACGGCCCTCGACCTCCCCGAGCGCAAACCCGACTCCTCAAAAATTGGCCACCTCTTCGAAACGGGTAAAGCCTACATCAAGTTCTACAAGACGGGCCTCAAAGCCGTCTTCTCCAACCGGCGCCACATCCAAGACGTCATCCGTGCCAAGAGCACCTCGGTCGAAGGGTTCCGCTCGCCCTCCGTCTTCACGCCGGGCGTCATCCCCAAGGGCTTCTCGCGCGCCGACTGGGTCCTGCTCTGGCGCGTGCGCCACGACGTCCTCCGCGTCCCGCTCTTTGGCCTCGTGCTCCTGGTCTGCGGGGAATTCACCCCGCTCATTGTCATTTTCGTCGACGGTGTCGTGCCGTACACCTGCCGCCTGCCGCGGCAGATCGACGCCAGTTTCTCGCAGGCGGAGGAGCGCCGCCACAGGTCGTTTGCCGACTTTGAGAGGGCCGCGCCGCAGGGCGTCGCGGCGGCACAGGGGACGGCCGCGAGGGCGCCGGCGAGGAAACACGTGCTGCGCAGTCTGCACATGCCCGGCATGATGTGGGATAAGATTGGTTTTATCCCGCCGGGTATGTGGGCGACGAAGGGCAAGCTGCGGATGGCATTCTTGGAAGGGGACGATAGGTTGCTGGCTCGAGATGGGGGCGCGGCCGGGTTGGAGGAGCAGGAGGTCAAGATCGCGGCTACGGAGCGTGGTATCGACTGCGCTGGTCGTGGGGTTCAGGAGCTGCGGCGCCTGCTTGACGAGTGGCTGCGCTTGACGGAGGCGGAGGAGACTGTGGAGAGGAGAAAGCGCATGACGGTTCTCCTGACTACAAGGTATGGATTTTCCTCCCAGACAATGCTCATTCGTACAATCAAATTGCTGACCGTTGAATTTTACAGGACGGAAAACTGGCCAAAGGACCGAGACTTTGCCCTCCCCGAGTGGCATCTTTGAATCGACCTACACAAAGCAGACTTGTACAATACTTCGCCTGGCAGATGACAACAATGCCGCCGAAATCTCTTTGTCAACGGCTGCATTATGGCAAGCGCCGGGTTTGTATACTACTGTATAATACCGCGGTATGAGTACCTTAGACGGACGGGCACTGAAAAGCATATGACGAGGCGAGGAAGGCAAAAAAAAAGGAGGCGGGATGGTTGCTAATAGACAAACCACTCTGTTCCAGACAGCAAGTAACAAATGTCAACAATTATCTCTATTAAGCAACGATGTCGTGGGCTGGTTCAGTGCCGGCACGCTCGATGTAGCAAGTAGTCTCGTGGAGCACTTGCTGCATAGGAATGATGGCAGCGAAGACCTGAAAACATTCATTCAAGTCGGCCGTTCAACAACGAGGTTGCCCTCATGGTGGACTAGAAGGATTTTGTCTTCTAATCTTACAGTCTTACAGTTGAGAGTAGCCATCTTGATGGCACAGTCATGACCAGCGAGATATGGTCTTCACATCTTTCGTAGCCTAGATCGTGATATAATGTGCACAGCTCCTGAAATAATCCAAGACGGGTGTATTCATCTCTTCAAAGCCATCTGAACCCTCGTCTTGCACTCATAACACAAGCTCGCACCATTGACCCGCGCAATCGCTGCCTCGTGTGGCATTAGGGTCGCCATCTTTGCCTGGAACGCGATCGAGGCCGCCACCACAAAGTCACTCGGTAGCTGGCTTGCCAAGCGCTCCCACGACGTCGACGAACAGTTCTGCACAAAGAGCTCCCTCAACCGCTCAAGGAGCCCTTCCACGTCGTCGTCTCTCCGGTGCAAGCTCTCCAGCGCGACGTAGCCGTTGGCAAAGTTGAAGACCCACCACTCGGCGCAGTGCGCGTCGCCCAGCTTCTGGGCCCCGACGTCGAGCGTCTCCCGGATGGCGGTCGATACTTTTCCGAGCAGGAGGTCGTCATGGAAACGGTCGCAGAGGGACCACATGTCGACGAGCTCCGTGAGGTCGTGCGGCGTGTGCATGTCGCAGGGTTTCAGGGAGAAGGGGGAGACCTCGTACGAGTCCTCCGAGTGGTCCGCCGCGTTGCGGCGGCAGCGCTTGACGCGCTGGGCCGTGAGGCGGGTGAAGTAGCAAAGCTTTACGTAGGTGCCCAGGGTCAGCGGGTTGATGTTAACGTTGTCGTCGCCGTCGTCCGCGTCGTCGTCTAGGTCGATGGTGTTGGTGTGGGACTCTGCAAAGGGGCCGTCGAGGCAGCGTTGGAAGTACTTTGAGGACTCGACCAGGAGCGACTTGTGTATTGCAAAGGATTGGTCCGCGGTTTTGAGCCAGATTATGGTCTGAGGTTGCCTTGGTCTCGGGGTCAGCGAGTATATTTGGAATAAGGCGACATGTAGTCTGCTGGCGATATTACAACTGCTTGCAAAATATTGGATTTCTCGACGCCAAGTAAGAATCAAAACGCCAAGAAATGAATCCTTGTTGGAATGAGAATAAGAACGCTTGAAAAGTTTCGAAAGAGACGAGCAAGAAGACCGTAAGGATTCAAGCTTCTCCTAAACCGCGAGCGCCTTCTTAGCATTCTGTTGCGCCGATGTTGGCCACATTCGGAACAACTCGACAAGATTCACAAATACAGTAGAACATCATATTCAATCATACTTTCGTGACCTACGTACCTTAAGAGACACCCTGCATCAGCAAGTTCTTCAGGTCGCGGCGCTCCTCGATCAAGTGCGGTAGTCATGGTGCATTTGTTCCTGCAGGTACGTCTGTCGATCCGAAATCAAGAAACTAATATGAGAGAAGAGAATGAAATAAACACAAAAAGCCAATTCAATGATGCGGGTATTGCGCGGTCGACCCCGCGCGGGATACGGCCTCGGTAAGAGCTTGTTCACCCATCTGATGTTTGGGCTCCAATCGGGTGGGCTATCTTGACTCGATCATGCGCGGATGAAGGGATGATATTTCAGCTAAATTACATTTACATCGACGGGTCTCGCTCTATAGATGGAAACAGCTTGCCATCAAGCAAGCTCTGTTCTGACGTCACAATCGTACGGTTCTTCGGCAACCTGACACCGTCATCTGTCTTTATCTACAGACAGCTGTCACCAGTCACCGTTTGGTTCGGGTATTGGGCTTGGATACTCAGAGGCTGCATTCTTTTCGTTAGCTAATGGGCCCAATTTCCACAGAAGTCGGTATACTCACATTCGTAAAGAACCCCTGTGGATCGTACTTTGACTTGATTTGAGACAGCTTTGCGACGTTGGCGCCATAGTACGAATCAAGCGGTGGGGTGGAGATCGTGTCGTCCATGTAGCCGGAGTAGCTTGCCATTCTTTTACCTTGGTCAGTTACTCATCCATCAGCCTAAAGAAGAACGAGAACGACTCACCCAACCAGTGGACGGAGATAGTCCTCCAGGCTCTTGAACCACTCCACGTAGTCTTTGTGGACCTTCTCGTCCGCGGAACTGGACACGATGAACTCCATGTGAGAGTATGCCTTCTCGCGCCACGCAAAAGCCGCATCGCCCGAGACGGAAATGTTCCACGCGTGCCACTCGATCCAGCCCTGAGCAGCATCGTCGAGCTCGTCGATGCGGGTAATAGCGTTCTTCATCGTGTCGTCCGTGAGCAGCTTGTCCTTCTGGATCATGAATGACTTGGACAAGCGGATGAAGCGTTCCCAGGGCTGCGCGGGGGGCAGCTCTGGCGCCTTTGTCGTCTCATTGTAGGTGAAGTTGGCGTAGCCAGGGATCTGGATGAATGGTTGCTGGATTGTGTTGACAACGAAGGGTGCGACTTGGGCGACCGCCTCGTCGGCTCCGCACTCGTTGACTCCGTATCCGAAGAGTCGGGCGTTGATGGTGTTGCATCCCCCGGAGATGTAAGCTGCCGGCGTGCCAATGTGAAGTAGCCCAGATGCGTTCACCATGCCCTGCAACTTATCGAGAGTGCACCCGTAGCACCATCCGATAACATCGGTACGGTTCTTGTACAAGTTCACCTGCGAGCTGAGGGCGCTATCCGCGCGAGGAGCCCACTCATGAAACGTCTTAGCGATATCGAACCTCGTGTCGGAGCCATTCCACTGCAGATACACCATGGCGGAGCGGGGGAACTCGAATGTGCGCAGCGTCCATTCGATAACGATGCCGTACGATCCGCCGCCGCCCCCGCGGATGGCGAAGAAGAGGTCCGAGTTTTCATCCCGAGAAGCTGTCACGACGCAGCCGTCTGATGTGACCACCTTGGCGGATTCGACGTTATCGACGCCGAGGCCGTTTTGGCGCATCTGCATGTTGAAGCCGCCAGCGGAGAGGAATCCCGATATGCCGACGGTGGGGCAGATGCCACCCGTCCAGTCGAGGCCTTGCTGCCCGAGAGCCGTGTATAAGGCGCCGAAGCGGATGCCGGCGCCGACAGTGGCGGTCTTCTTGTCTGCGGCAATGTTGACATAGTCAATGTGGGTGATGTCGATGACGAGAGCGTCTTGGAGGGCAGAGTATCCGAGGAAGCTGCGCGAAGTAAGTCACTTTGAATACACAGAGATGGGTCTGGGGATGGTAGAATGCTTACTGGTGACCACCCGTTCTGGGGACTGCTTTGATGCCATTCGTCTTTGCGCATTGTATCAAGGGCGCAACTTCGTACGGCTTTTCCGCATAAGCAATCAAAACTGGCATCTGTGTAAATCTGTTGGTCTCATATGAGCTTTGCGTCCTAAATATGAAAGTTGTCTGCTATTTCTCTCACTGAATAGCCTCTCCGATTCTTGCGTCGTGGTATCTGGGATCAGTCGGCGTCACTATGCGCAGAGCCGCGTTTCCTCCAAAGACTTCCTCCACACATGACTTGAGAGCATCTCTCTTGATCCGAGGTGCGGCGAGAACTGCCTGCGCAGACAGCGCAGCGAGAAGAAGTGACAGTTGCATGGCGAGGAGGTATGCAATGGCTGATTCGTCGACGATGATGGTCTGTGGTTGCTAGATGGCCAGGAAGGTCTTCCGGAAGGTCGCGGGTGATTGTTAAATACATTGCGGCGATGATCTTTTGGCCCCCCCTGCTTCGCCGGAGATAATTTGAAAATATGTACAGCCTTCTTTCCTCCGTCTTGGTCCTAGATTAGGGAAACCATCATACGAAGCACATCGGTCGATAGTCAATCGATACGCCAAGGATTAACTTGGCAGGGTGAACTTCAAAGCACAAGTCCGGCTTGGGTGAACGTGGTTGTGATATGCTGAATATTGCTACTTGAGCCCCTCCGCTAGGGGACGGATGGAAGCCCCGGAGTGGATCCGGCCGCGACGGCCGGTGGTAGGATGTGATTGGTTGAGCTGGCACGACCTCCGTCCGACTTAACACGGAAGACTCCGGAGAGCATCGGAAGTATATTTTGTAGAAGAACCACCCGCAGCCTTTCAACCAAGTGGTTTGTTGATCCATTCTTTGGATTCTTAACTCTTGAAGTAAGCGAAGACGCCTCTAGCGGACAACCCCTATCTTCATCACTTCCGTGATCGCCAGCCTGGATTGGATAAAACAATCACCATACTAGACAATCGGATCGAATCTCATTTGAAATTCGTTCTGTAGTCGTTCTCTATCTGATGATCACGGAAAGTTGACCGATTCTTGCGAGGGAAGGAAGATATCTAGGGCAGGAGGGAACCAGCAGTATCTGGATATACAAATTAAGCGCGAGGTGATGATCTGGACTTCTGGTTCTCAGTATGGAGCTTCCTGAATCTCTTGGAATTGAGCTTTGTAGGCATTAAAAATCAGATTATGATTACACCTTGAGCGATGCTTCAAATTCCGAAAAAAATCTTTAAATCGTACACAATGCATTTACCTGACTTGGGTTTGTCAGTAAGAGTTCCTTAGAGGACCCAATGGCGCGTGCGAGCAGGCCACCCGCCGGCCGCATCAAGAAACGCAAACCCACAGCATATTCAGTGGCAGTATGTAATGGACGGTGAGATTGAAAGAATGGAAATTACCAGGATACAATCATTGATCAAAGCGTGGGCAGCTGTGGCCAAGGAGATAGGCGTTGACACCTGGCGATGCTGAGGATTGAGCGGGAACTGGAGGGTTTATCGCGGAGGATGTTTATTGTATCGGCCTGCGTTCAATACAAGGAAGGCAATCTAGCCGTTTTAGTTATCACGCGACACTGACAGGGTAATCGCAGGTCTCTGGATCCGTTGCGTGTATTTACGGCACAGCAGTCCACCCGGACCTTCGGAGAGGACATTGCATGACGTACGTCACCGGGAAGCGACGGTGAGATAAAGTAAACCACCTTCCTGGGAGATGTTCTAGAAGCTCTCAAAGCAAAATTTGTTGCATTCTCTAGCCGCGCAATCGAAAGACTAGGGCAGTTGCCAAAAAGTGATGGAGACGGTGTGCGAGAGATAACCCACCAGCATGTCTACCTCCGGCGAGGCCAAGCTCTCAAGAAGCTTCCGGCGGAGTTCTTTTGTGTACATCTGAATAGAATCTGAATTTTTCCTTTAATTTAAATGATCGACAGAACGCTAGCAGCGTAGTTCCTGTAGAATCGAGATATCCAAGTCGTAGACGGGCTGTGGCCGCGTAATCCTGGCTCTCCTAGCGTTCTCCGTCGTCCGAATTCCAAGGAAGAGAGGCTTTACTTTGTATACCCCATACTTTAAAGTGATTCCATTGAGTCATAACTTACCCTTGTTATGCTCAAGGATCGGCGGAGTCAGGCGCTCGCGATCTCCAACGGGTTGAAGCATGTCGGCGAGAAAATAATCCAAGTCACATTCGACTGCTCCCGGGAATCCTGAAGCTGAAATAGGCATACGCAGGATCTTAAAGTCACGGGATTTAAACATCGATGCATGGAAAACATTACTAGTACAGTCAGATATGAGCCACCTGAAGCCACAATTCTGCTGGAGCGGCTCATACCCCAGATCGACGAGGCTAATTCATCCCTTGAACCCAACACCTGGACATCACCGCATTCCGAGGCCTTTCGGAGGGACGTTTTGTTTACCATACGGAGCCGAGAATCGTCCTTCGCCGACAAGTCAACATGTTTTGAGTGGTCTCGGCTACGCCATGGAGCTCATCTCAACATCCAGGGCCAAGGTAATTGATGTTTTGATTCTGTCTCGGTGGCTTCGGACGGACCTCCGCCGTCGGGGAGCTCTCAATATTTGACCTGGAAATTGGTGTTTTGGTCGACTTAAGAGGGACTCACGCCTGCGCCGGATCAATTTCTTGAATAATTTTGTCGAAAATCTTATTGTCTCCTCGCGGCGACTATAACCCACGAGCCCATGTGGTTCTTTCAACAGTCACACTCGTTTCTCCGCTGCGTCGACCATCATTCACTCCTCGAATCATGTTGGCTGTTCCACTCCTCCTTGCAGCAGCGATACTGCTAGCAAGATGGTATTTCAAGCCTAGCAAGATTCCCGCCTACAAAGGCGAGGGGCTTTTCGCTTTCCTCAGCGACGCCCACGACTACGCAGTCAAACCCATCTCGCTCATCCGCAGAGCTCAACTGCAATGTGGTAACATCTTCTCAATCCAGATCCTGACAGTCCACAATGTCTGGCTTCGCGGAAATGAGCTCAACAAGGCTTATCTCGACATGCCCGAGAAAGCCTGGTCGTTTGGCCATGGAATGGTGAGCGCCCCTCCCCAGTTAGCCACCTCAACCCAGTTTTGAGACATTCAAAGTCAGACGTGTCTCAACTCACATGCGATTAGGGAATATTTCTCAACAAGATCCTCGACCCTGGGTACATGGATAATATCAGAGTCATGGTCGGCTCCCTCAGCCGGTACATCAACCGCGCTACAGCGCAGGAGCATATGGCCAAGTGCACCGTGGAGGAGACTCACCGATGCGCGCTCGAGTGGACGACGAAGTCCGACGTGGAGCTCTTTGATGGGGTATCCGAGTTGACACACAAGGTCATCGTCAGGACCCTGATGGGCGACGACTTTTATGAATCGAGCGGAGAGCTCCTGGACCTTCTGCATGCGATGGAGTGCGACATTGGCAGCATCTGGTCATTCGTGCTCCCCGACTGGGTGCCTCATCCACCAGCGAGAAGACTGCACCATGCTCGCGAGCGTGTGAAAGAGATCTTCTGGGAGAAGCTCAGCCAGCGACACGTCGCAGCCAAGAACGGTGATCTCGAGACTGACCTACCGGACTACATCACGCACACGTTACACGAACAGAGCATGGCGCCGCTGAAGCACTATCTCCCTTCCCATCATACTGTATTGATGTTTGCTGCTCACACTTCCACAGTCGCTGCGACCTCCTGGGTCGTTGTTTGCGTACGTATTCAAAGCTGCGCGTGAGGATTTGAGTACGACGAAACTGACGACCTCTGCCAGCTTTTACGCCATCCTGATGTCATGGCCGCCGTGAAGAGAGATGCTCGGAGTGGGAACACCGAGTCGGCGCTCATCCAGGCCTGCATCAAGGAGACGATGCGCTACTACGCAGGCATGAAGTGCTTCCGCCTCGCCATGCAGGAAATGCCTGTCCCAGGTACAGACATCACCGTTCCAAAGGGCTCGGTCGTGTCCATCTCTCCATACTTGACGCACCATGACCCTGCCAACTATCCGAATCCCGACACCTGGATGCCCGGAAGGTGGCTCAACGCCGAGAACAAGCTCGTCAATCTCGAAGGAAAGGATAGCAACGGCGTCAAAAGTATGCTGTTTGGTGGCGGAAGCCATCGATGCCCTGGCGAGAAGATGGCCATGATCATTGTGACTCAGACCTTGACGACTTTGCTGCGATTTTATGATGTTACATGGGCGTCACCGGACCAGCCTCAAACTGTAGACTTTGAAGGCCTAGATTTTGGCAAGGTTGGCTCGCCTTGGCTAAAGGTATAATGTCCAATTCTCCAACAGTCTCTCTGTTGCTTTGCTGACACCTTATCAGGGAGGATTGAGAGTGAGAGTTTCCAGAAGAAAGTGGCCCGAGATGATGGGAGGCTGTTAAGAGATTTGTGATGTATAGCCTTGGGATGAGTATCGATCACCGACCAACAAGGAATGAATTGCTGTTGGCAGAGGTAGAATTGTAGATGAATAAGACCTGTAGATAAGCCTTTATTGCCGCCGCGTTTACTGTACCATCAAACAAGTCCTCTATCTGTGTCTCATTCACACGGAAGTCCCATAGTTTTTGCAGCATCTAAACACAGACTGCGCATATCGTGTTTGGGATGCTTCATCTTTGCTATTATTCAACTAGCGGCATTTCAACCTTCAGCGCTGGTCTACGCCAGGCCTCATCGAGGAAATTGAGTTCCGTTGCATCTTAACGTTACACGAATGCAACATTACGTAGTTTAAACTTCTAGAACGTTAAGCTGCCTGTCAGAAAAAAATCTCCGTGGAGGAGGAGACATGCATCCAGATGGGGGCGGAGACCAGTCCTCTTTCATCCGGAAGATGCAGGCTAGTGAAGTCTAAGCACAACTCCATACCTCCGCAAGCTAAGGCAACATGTCGGAGAGGGGCACGGAGATGGAGAATGTAAACAAAGATTAAGCTCTTTTTGACGTCATTTGTTTACTTTTTGTTGCCAGCTCATCCCTTCGATCGAGATTCGCAAGGGGTCATACTATCTTGCGCAGCCGTCAAGCTATGAATTCTGGCAACTGCCCAGCCGCTCGGGGCTCGAAAATTGAGGTCTCTTCAAACGCAGAGAAGGAAATGGCCGGACTGAAGACGGATATATTGTAACCCAGAGTCAGCCATGCGCGGAAATGATGGTACGGGCAGACGAGCTTTGGGGATGGCTTCAGTTGAGAGGTTTGCAGTTTTGTGAGCTACGAGTTATAAGTGCCTAGATACATACAAGTTGCCTACCCGCCAATATCCTTCAACTAGTAGATGCAGTGAACTCCAAACGCCTTCAATGATGCCGCTAATTACACCGTGAACCACAATGCCAGCCATCGCTTCCAATGCTTACGAGCCTAAAAGCACAATCCCAACAGTACAGATAAGTAATGAAGCCGCCAGGACTTCAATGAGGGGTTTCAAAGACGGTGATCATTCTAGACCCTGCAGACACTTTCTGAAAATCCCGCTCAGCTCGCCCACGTGCTGGGGCTCAAATGCGCCATCGTGGTCGCCGCTGAAGGGCACCGTCTCGAACTTGGCAAACTTCTCCGCTTCCCAACACATGGCCGTTTCGCGCATGACGGAGCGGACAAAGATGACGCCCTCGCGCTCTCGCTGGGTCAAATTGGGGTCGTCGAACGGGTCGGGCTTGCATTTGATGAGGACGGTATGGAAGTCGGAGACGCCGTCTTTGGGGAGCAATTGGCCCGGCTCGACGGTCGAGATGAGGCCGAGACCTTTATGGATATGCTGCTTGATCTTTTGCAGGAAGTCGCGAACCTGGTCCGGCTCATTTTGGTCAAATTCTTCGTCTTCTTCTGCGTCCTGGTCATCATCTTCGTCGTTTTCTTCTTCGTTTTGGGTGACCTCGAGGTCGTGAGCAGCGGTGAGGGTCTCGGCGTCGATTTGATCCTCCGTGGGAAAGTCTTGTAGCAATCGGTTCTGCTCTGGGCAGAATTCTGACCCAGCTTCACTGCTACACGCCGGTGACCCGGGGGTACTTGGAGACCAAGCAGGGCTGTCGTCTTCGTAATCGCTCGAAGCGCTGCTGGAGTAAGAGACCTCCGTCGTAAATGTCCCCCATGTGCTTGTTCGGTTCTCGCCGACGGTGAGGTAGTCTCCAAACTCGCTCTCACTGATCACGGGCGACCCAATGGGAGAACAATCGGAGTCCATGAGTCGAATATCGGCAGCAACGGTCCTGGTAAAGGTAAGGTGTGTGAGGGAGCGGTGATCCTTGGCGCTCGGAAACGAGGGGAAGGTCTCTGGGTTGGCCGAGTCGAGCATGATTACCTTTGTGACCTTTTCTCCCAGGTCGCGCAGAACCATGGCCATGTTCATGGCAATCATGCCGCCCATCGACCATCCTCCCAGCAGGTAAGGGCCCCTCGGCTGGACTTCCTTGATCTTTTCGACGTAGAGTGCAGCAAGGTCTCGCAGTGTCTCGGGAAACATGAAATCATTACCACCTGGGCAATGCATGGGGGAGGTGATGCCGTATACTGGCCTCTCGTCATCTTCGCTGAGGGCTTCGAGGCGGAGAAAGGGTAGCGCGAGCCCTGAGATTGCGTGACACATGAAAAATGGTGTAAGGTGAGAGTCCTCGTCTCCTTGGAGGAGGGTAATGACCTCCATGATGGTTTGATAAAGATGTCAATGTGGTAATACGATATGATAAGTGTTAGGTGGTAAGAGTGTCGTTTTAGTAAGTAGTGAAAAGTAGAGAATTGATTAGACTTGAGCGAGAATGCTGAACTTTGGTGAGTTGAATTCCTTTTGATTTTGAAGAGACCGGTCAACCGGCGAGATGCTCACGAGAACCGTTGACGACCGAATGCGTCGAGAAGGTTGTTGATGGCCTTCTGGAAGCACCTTCAGCCTCCTCCAAGACCAAGTCTTATATCCAACATTGCAAACTGAATCTGCGACGGCAAATTGCAAACCGTGATGCAAAGTGGCGATGATTCTCACGACCGAGATGACAATGTTAGACTCCAGCTGTGCTGGATCGTGTTCCAGAGAGATTCATGTCGTAGCCTTGAAGCGTGGAAACGCTCCGGAACAGCAAAACTTGCTAAGGAGATGGCACGGATGCCCAAAGGACCACTTCCAGGCGCCATCCGCTTCCCCTTTAGACTCACCGGAGGTTCTCCATAGCACACTGGACGACCACGGCGGTGGCTAGGAAGGACAGCGCGTGGCGAGTGATTGATCCGCAGCCTTAGAAACACCAGAAGGCTGTTCCCCAGATGCTCCTTGATGCCCTGCGTCGATTTCGTACGCTATGGTTTCGGCCTTCGGGACACTTCATGGACGCGACGCACGCCAGTGTTGGCAGCTTGATTGGATCGAGATCCATGGCAGGGTTCCTGTTTGATATCATGTGCAACCATGACGACATCGCGACAACAACGGTAGTCTCAAAAGAGATCAGGGTTTGTATTCGACAGTGGGGCCAAGTTCCAGATGTCGAGTATGCAGCAACGTTGTAAAAGCCGTTAACAATAAGCTCCCATTTCTTCCTCTGCCCCCCTCATCGATTCTGGTCATGCAAGTGTCGCAGGGCTTCCCTTAGATTCAAGACACAGAGACGTAGAGCACCAAGACGAAATGCAAAACGAGTGCTGCCGATCTCACGGAGACCAATTGTGGCTTGGACACTAGTCATTTCGCAAAAATGAAAAATTCCTTGGTCCCCAGAATTGGGCCTTTACTCAATGACAATGAAGCCTCCGAGAGGGGACGGAAACGGAGGTGAGGGCCACGCCGGATGCCAGACTCGCTCTGGAACACCTCCGACAAGAGGACTTGTTTAAGAAGGACGACCTGGTCACTGTCTGGTGACATTTTCAAACTCACCAACTCATTCCTTTTCCGCATACGTTGCTCATAATAGACCCTAATCCTACTGCCAAGCACTTGCCCCGAGATCTATCCCGCAACATCGAAAAGATGCAGCTCTCCAAGTTTGCAGTGCTGCTGCCACTCTTGGCTGGCTCAACTGAAGCAGGCAAGATGAGGGCCCCTCGCAGCTGGGCCGCTGATCGGTTCGATATGCAGCTCACCTGGAACCAGTTCGGTTTCCTCTCCCACCAGAAGATCGGGAACCCTCCCCAGGAAATCCCCATCTTTGTAGACTGGACCTGGATCAGCCAGTACATTCTCTCACCCAAGTGCTACGGAGAAGAGAACGACCCCGCGGCTTGCCTCAACGTGCAGCAGCTCTACTACGACCCGGCCAAGTCGACATCTCACCGAGACGCATCGAAGCGTTTCCCCAGCCGCACCTGGCTCCCTAATCACTTCTTCTTCTGGGAGCCTCTCACAGTCGACTATGCGCAAGATGCTGTTCAGATTGGGCCGGTGACGTCAAACTCTATCATGCAGTTTTCTGACACCAACTTTGATCTCTCTGCTTTCCCGTACCCCTTCACTGGAGTTTTGGGTCTTTCCCCTGTTTTCAAGGGTGATAATGGTGCGTTCCCAAGAGTCATTTATGGCCCTTTCCAACGGTACGTTGGCCTGACTCATTTCCAGCTTCTCTCCAATCGCCGTTCTACCAGCAGTGGAAGGCAGGCCAATGGAAAAACCCGACCATCAGCTTCGTCTACTGCTACGAGGAGTCCATGAAAGCTACCTGCAACGGCAGCGACGGTCTCCAGTCCTTCGGCGGCATCATGGACCAGATCGTCAAGGACAGCGAGATCTACTGGTACGCCAACTATGTCTTCCCTGACGTCAACACGCTGGCCTTTGAGTACCATCCGGGCCTGTACAACTACTGGGCGACGCCCCTCGACTCGCTCTGGATCGGCGACGAGCTGCAGCCCACCGAGCCCACGTCCAACATCTCCGGCAAGGCCTCCATCTTCGACCACGCCTCGTACGGGCGCGGCATCCCCCTGACCCCCAACGCGTACGAAAAGCTCGTCAACCTGACCGGCGGCCAGCCGCTCACGCTCGAGGACCCTACCGTCATCAACAACGGCAACCAGTCCATGTACTCTGTCGACTGCGGCAGCGTCGGCTCGTTCCCCACCGTGAGCTACAAGTTCGCGGGTCACGACAAGGTCTGGGCCAACACGCCGAAGCACTACGTCGAGACGCTGCCCGACGGAACTTGCGCGTTGAACGTGCGCGCCATGGCGACTGGCGACAGGTTTATTGGAAACTTTGGCGAGACGTTCTTCAAGGACAAGGTCGCCATCATGGTTCGTTTTCTTGCGCATCATCCGTGACGAGAAACCACGATGCTAACGGCGCCCTAGAACTTTGAGACGCTTCAAGTCGGCATCGCTGAGATTCAATGGTAAGGCAAATTACGTGTTTGTCACATTCGATAGCTCGTGGGTTGGTGAAAGTCAGGCCCTCAGCGTAGGGTGCTTGTGAAGCCCCATTGAAACGTCAAATCCCTGAGCCACCTGGTGAGGGATGTATCGCAACCCCGAATTCGGTGTAAGAATCGAGTAAGCGCCTCGGTGGAGTAGCGCTGGTGGCAAATAGACGGCATAGAATATCCGGATTTGTACAGTTAGAATCATAATACTCGGAAACATGTGGCTCTTTTCGCGACATCTCACCTGCGTCTACAACAATGAGTCGTGCATGCGTGGAAATGACAGCGTAATGGGCAATGTGACGGTTAGTCACGTGAATCTCTGCCCAAAGTTGTTGGAGCAAGCAGGCACCGACTGTTCTAATTCCGGAACTGCCGGATCCATGCGGGGATGTGCCCGGATATTATGGGTCCCGGGCCGGCCCCGAACGGGAGTCGCCTTATTCGGTCCACCAGGGAGCTAGCTTCCTCAGCCCCAGATTTTGCCTTCCAATTCTATGGTAGCGAACAACAATATTCGATTCGGACAACTCTTAAAATTTTTAAACATGCAACGTCGCTGTTGAATCGCGAACCCTCGATGGGGTTTCGTCCAATGCCCAGCCACCGTGCCGCAAGCCGGAGCACTGCCTCATCCTCCCGACGGCCCCCAACCTCGAACAGCGACGAGGCTTCCTCATTAGTGCACGGTCTTTTGGGAAATGCCAAAGTGTGCTAGATAAAGAGAAAACGGATGTCGTCTACTGTCGCGGCATAAGCGTGGGGTTGAAACTGCGATGTGAAGATTTTAAAACACCTGAAGACATAAAGCAGGCAAGTGAGGTTCTCAAGGATACTTCTACGAGGCTCCGAGTCCAAGCTGATTTCTTTCACTACAAGAATGTACTTCCACATTGTTTATCCAACTTTACTATGCACGATATGCTAAATAGGTAGAGCACTGAACTCAAGAGCTGCTGGCTCCGTTATCGTCTAAAATTAGAGTAATCAGACTGGAATCAGAACATCAGGAGTGGTGGGACTTTTCGGCACCCAATGAGATGAGGAACTTCTCAGCTCATTCAACTAGGACATTATAATTATCGGTGCATTAGGGCACTCTTCACAGTTTCTTTTTCGTCGAATGGATACCAAAGATCGGTTAATATGACTCCAGGCTGTACTGATCTTTATGTCATTGAACCCCTCCGCGTTGCCCATGCACCAACGCATCGGCCGCTTGGGTCCTGTCCGGAACGGTGCGGCAGCCCGTCGGACCGGAGTCCACATAGAAGCCCACCAAGTCTAATAAAGACCAGGCCCGGCCGGCCCAGGCCTCAAAACCTTCCGCCTAAGCCCATGGCTTTTTGTCGGCTGTTCCGCTCCAGGACGGCCGGAAACGAGGATAGACGCTCCATGTTGGTCCGGCTGCGGACCTAGGGGTTCAAGTCCGAAGGAACACGGATAAACAATGGTCTACCTATCCCGTGATTGGATCTCACAATGATCTTTCGAAACACATTTAATGAGCAGTACATAAGGCGTCTCTCAACTGCCGTAAAACCGATAGAACTCCACAACTCACCAAGAAAACCAACATCCTTCTTTCGGCCCGATCACATCAGACTCTAACAGGCAACCCGCTCATCTCCTTGGAGGAACGTTACATGAACCACCCCTAGTCCGATCCTCTCTCACTCACCATGACATCATCCCCAGTCGACGTTCAGGTCCTCATCGTCGGGGCCGGAATCGGCGGTCTCACGCTGGCAGCCATCCTCTCGCGGCTCGAAGTCTCCTGCAAGGTCCTCGAGCGCAGCGACATGCTGCGCCCCGTCGGCGCGGGTATCTCGCTCTCGCCCAACGGCCTCCGCATGCTCGACCAGCTCGGCGTGTACGACAAGGTGCTGGACGCGGGTCAGAAGCTGCGCAAGGTGCAAATCTGGCGCGGCAGGAAGCTCTGGAACACGGTGGACTGGGCGGGCTGCGAGGCGAAATTCGGGTACCCCGTCGTGTCCCTGGAGCGTCATCATTTCCATAGACTTCTCTTTGATGCTGCGGGAGGCGACGCTGTCGTGCAGTTCGGCACAAAGATTGTCAATGTCATTGACGACCCGAGCGACTCTTTTGTCAGAGTGGTCTCTGACGATGGTAACGAGTTCCGGGCTCACGTCGTCGTCGGTGCCGACGGGATACGATCTGTCATCCGCAGATGCCTCGCGCGAGATGCTGGTCTCAGGGAAGCCAACACCATCAAGTTCACAGGCCGTGTTCACATGAGCGGCATCACCGCGCCGCTGGAGCACCTCGGTCCTCAGGACCTCGGTGTCGCCAACTGGATGCTCTACGAAAACTCGACTCTCACCACTTGGCCATGCCCCGATAACCGGCAATGGTTCATCGGTGTAAAGGTATAAACACACTCTCCGTTTCCGTTCGCATTGCGGTGGGGGCTCAGCTAATCTTGGCAAAAGAAAACTGACGACAAGGTCGACAATGACCGGTCTGTCTGGAGTAGCTGTGATGAGGATACCATCAAATCAGTTTACGGAGACAAGTTCCACCCGTTCGCGGAGAAAGGAGAGTTTGGCGATAGTAGGTCGAAAGCTGAGTGCATCCCTTTTACTGACGAGATGGGCGGCGCTGAAGGAACGGGATGAATGGGACCGAACGCCCAATCTGACATGACTTATTCTAGTTATCGACAAGAACGAGCGGATCCTTGCCTGCAATATGTTCCAAGAGGTCGAATTCCCTTCCATGGCCCGAGGCAGAGTCTGTCTCATCGGCGACTGTAAGCTCTCTCTCTCCGTCTCTCCCCATAACGTTCTTGTCAGGAGCCGTTTCGCGATGGAAAACACAAAAGCTGACTGGTCGCAACAGCCGCGCACAGCATGACCAGTGCCTTGTACGTATTTGCGGAAAAGCGCGCCCCAAAATCCCTCCGTTGCAGATCACGGAGCCCTAGTCTGGCAGCCAAGCATCTAGCTTGAGGCTGCTCCCACGGAGGCTTTTCCTATCCATCCCCTCCCCTAGTTCCAACGGCATTCACTGACTCTTGAGCTTCTTGTTTAACAGCGGCCAGGGGGGGAACCTAGCGTGAGTTTCCCGCATGCTTGAGATGGAGATCTTGACGTAAACTCTGAAGATGCTAATTCGAGATGTGGCCAAAACGCAGAATCGAAGATGCGGCGGTCCTTGCTAGCCTGATACAGGAGAACCGAGGTTCGTTGGAGGACAACGCCGAGCCTATGCTCCAAAAGTACAGCCAGATGCGGGAGAAGAGGGCAAAAGAGGTGGTCAAATTCAGTTTCCGCTTCATCCTGCTGCACGGAGCGTTTTTGCCCTATGGCGTTGGACCGTTGCTCCGGTGGTTGATCTATGCTTTCCTGCCCGGCGGCGCCTGGCTGTGGTTTCTCGAATTCCTGTATGGGTTCCAACCCACCGTAGTGCAGTTAGACTCTGCATCGACGAAGAATTGAGAGACATTATTATTCTGCCTAGCTCGTATGGGTCCCTTCTGGAATGCAGTTGTCTCAGATTGCAGTTTCACTCGTTCTGGAGAAGTGCCCGAGTGTCAGGGTGACTTATTAGCGGGTGCCTGGAGAGAGACAAAGAACACAGCCACGGGCGGGCTCATAATATCGTCTTTTCTTGTCTTGCTGCGTGGGGGGCAGGGGAAGGGGGCACTAGGGGGGTCCCGTTCGAGAAGCAGGGGTCTAAGATTTTTAGCTGGACTGGCAGGAGTACCCGTAAATACACGCAGTTGCGAAAGGACTCTTGTCTCTCCTTCCAGAGCTGATGTACCTCCGCGCTTGTTGTTGTTGTGCACCTTTGCATATCTTGAGGGCGGCGCAGCAAGCGCGACAGTCGGCTAACTTGTCTTGGAGTCGGACTTGAGTTGCCGGTTTTTGGCCCCCAAGATTGAGGCAGAGTAAGTAGGTAAGGTAGGTACATGTAAACGTGCGCGAGTCGAAAAGCCCCGTCCAACAACCACAACCGCAACCACAACCACACGCGACTAAATCTTATGGGCTTTCGCTGATGGGGGAAATTCTACTGCACCTCGTCATTTTCAAAGTCGCTCCCCATGTAAACCACAGGAATACCATACACCCCCCCCCTCTTGCACCCACACCTCCTCCGTCTACTGCTCACCCCCCCTTGAAGCCTCCCCGACACTGTGCATCCCAACCCCAGTTTGAATCCTTCAACGGTACCTTGCCTCGTCTCAACTTGTTGCAACTTTCACTCACTTTGCAGATTAATTATAATATCTCAAAAGAACCACCAACCACCACCACGATGGACATGTTGGTATCAGACTTTGCCATTACAGACGAAAGGGTTGAAAAAGACGGGTGACGCAATTTCCCAGACTCTCCCTCTCTCTACTTCAAGCCTTTACAGCCTCCCAAATCGGCATTGCCCCCAATTGTAATCGGCGGCGGTTCGTCCCATCAAACCTTTGTTTCCCTCAGCCCTCCATTGGTATTAAGATACTGTTGTACAATTATAACCAATGTGTATTGTATAATACTTTTTGTCTTTCTCACACCAACTCCCAAACCTAAAATACTATACCCGATCATGTCCCTCACATCTCGACACCCGCTCCGCAAGAGCTGCAGCTTCTGCCGCGCACGCAAGATCAAGTGCAGCAACGAAACCATCTGCGAGGCCTGTCGGAAGCAAAATGTCGACTGCGTTTACGACTGGGACTCGCGGCCGCCAAAGGCCCGCACCGTATCCCAGGACATGACCAGAAACAACAGCACCGGCGATAGCGCCGTCCCGGTACCACAACGCCAGAGGGCTTCAACAGGTGGCTCGCCGTATTCGACACCCATCATGGAGGAGCCTGCGCAGATGGAGGGAAGTGGTACAGCACCCGTCGCTCTCATGGGCGGCGGCGAGGACGTGGCCAGCATGCTTAACAGCATGTTCATCGAAAACTTTGGCGAGAACCCGGCGCCCGGTCCCAAGTCGAACCCGTGGCAGGAGAGGATATCGGCATATAACCAGACCCTCCGCTTGACCTTGCAGGACCGGAGCGAAAATGTCGTCAACTCAAAGTTCAGTCATCGGGATGTCAAGGTATGGGTGCAAGACATTGGAACGTGCTAGAGTTTGACGCAAGCTGACTTGATTCAAAGTACACTGGCATCCTGCAGCTTCTCACTCACGACTTGGTTGGCCTTGTGGTTGATAAGTTTGGCGGGCTGGGTTCCATCTTCATGGAACAGGGCGGCGGTAGATTCTATCTCACAGGCCTCGCGAGCGACGCCACACCATCCATGTTCGAGACGACACCGACAGGACCGAGCCCCCTGACCGACTATGGCACTCGACAGATCGGACAGCTGGTTGATGTGTGGTACAGCGTCCATCCTCTCTCCTTCCTCGTCTCCAAAACCCTACTCCTTCGCGAACTGAGAGACGGCACGCACGACGAGGTTCTCCTGGCAGTGATCCTCGCCGACGCATCTTTCTCGCTCGGCGACGAGGTTGCCATGGCGAGAGGACACGTCCTCCTCCGATGGGCCTCGGCCCAACTCCAAAACCGCCCCATCTCAACCCGGGTCAGCCAGCCGGGCATGCCCGGCGCCGGCATCTCCCTCCCCGGCATCAGCACAGCGCAGGTCCTGATGCTCCTGGGCTGGAACAGCCTCTGCCAGGGGCAGATCAAGCGCGCCACCTGCTATATTGGTCTCTCCGGGCGCCTGGCAACCGAGATCAAAGACACCATCTCGGCGTCCTCGGCGCCCCTTACCACCAGCCGCATCAACGGCATCGACGTCTGCGAGGTGGAAAAGGAAATCGTCGCCTACCTCTACTGGACGACCTACACCCTCACGCTCTGGACCTTTTTGCAAATGGGCACCCACTTCTCGCAGCTGCTTCCCACGAGCCTCACCTCCATCTTCCTCCCCGTCGACGAGACCTCCTCCGTGCTGATGCGCCTCGACGAGGTCTCGGACAACTTCTCCACGCTGCAGAAGCAGAAGAGCATGATCAAGGAGATGTGGCCCCTCGCCCACATCGCCTCCATCACGGCCTACATCTTCGCCCTCTACCCGCAGGAGCCCGACCCCAATGAGACCGTCAGCACAAACTTTTGGCAAGAGGCACCCCTGCTGGCTCTCCAGCGCATCCAGCAGGGCAGCACCCCACAGGACATGGAGTGCGTCTGCCGCGAGGTCTACCGCGTCCTGATGGAGAGTATCCACCTCCTCAACCGTCAGGTCGCCCACGAACCCTCCCGCTCCCTCGTCCTCTCTGTCTACCACACCATGGCCATCCACCTCCTCTTCCCGGCCATCCTGCCCGGCGCCCCTCCCCCGGCAGAGCCCTTCACCCTCACGGCAGAGACGGTCGAGCGCTTCATCGGCTCGGCACAGGAGCTCGTGGGCATCATGCTCCACATTGCGGAGCAGACATCCCAGGAAGGGCCTGTCATCATGCCAGCGCAGAGCAAGAACTCGTTCCCCGACGTCTTCTGTCTGGCATTGGATACCTGCGCCCGAGGTCTCAGCTTCATCTACGCGCAACAGCAAGCCGGTATCCTAAACATGGAGCCGCAGATGATCGCCGTCTACGAGGGACGCCTCGAAGCCTTGGCATCCCGTCTCCTGGGCATCGCGGCCTCCGACTTTCTCTCCCCGGGCGGCCAGGTCCGCGCCATAAAGAAGCACCTCAAAGCCGTCATGCGCGCGTTCGGCGGCCATGTTAGCAGCAGCAGCAGCAGCAAAAGCAAAAGCAACAGGAACAGCACGGGAAGCGGCATGAGCATCCCCATCAGCATTAGCCACACGCGCTCCGACTCGTACGCCTCGTCGTCCACGACCCACTCCATGTCGCGCCGCAACTCCTCCCTCCCGCACACCCCGCCGCAGCAGCAGCACCACCACGACCAGTTCTCGGGTGCTCCGACAGCCGTGGACTCAACGGCCTCGTCCTTCATCAGCCCCATGGACACGTCGATGCTGCCGTCCGTCTCGTCTTCATCTTCGGCGGACGACTCCATGACGTCGACGAGCGAGCTGGCCACGCCCTTCCACCCGTTCAGCCCCGAGGGCAACAAGCAACAGAACGACTGGCACGCCGCGGACGAGCTGTTTGCTCATGTCATGGACCCCGCGGCGCTGGGGGCACCGACGGGCGACCATCACCTTACCCTTGCGGACCTGGTAGACTGCCAGGCTGGCGCGGCGGGGTGGTTCCCTGACCACGGCGGGCAGATGCTCGTCGACTTCGACATGGGGGCCTCGCAGTTGGCGGCCAACTGGGAGTGGCCGTCCGTGTCCGACATGGGTGGTCACGAGGCAGGCATGACTGCGGCGGCGGCCGCGGTGGGGAGTGACATGGACGCCATGTTTTACAACTATTTCAAGAAATGATTGGGAGGGACTTGGGAGGCTGGGCTGTGGATATGCCTAGAGCTCTTTTTTCCCCTTTCTTTCTTTGTTCGTTTTTCATGACTTGATGAAGAATCATTTTCTTTTCCCTTGTCTTTTCTTGGGAATTCTTCTTGCATTGGGCTCAAAGGCAGCGAGCCAACCTGTGTCCCACCCCCAACCACCTTGTACAGGATAAGGATACTTTAGACCATTGGGGGGTCCCTGGACGGGACCGTGTCTTCAACAGCTTCTTCACCATAACTGCATACTGCCAAACTAGAGGGGCAGGCAGCCTTGATTCGCCGGCAAGGCATTTTTTTCTTTCTCATGTCTTGACTTTTTTGTCTCATTTCACGGCTTAGAGGTTTTGGGTTGGGCAAACTGACAACAATTCGGCGTTCAAGAGGTTCCGGGCTTACTTTTCCATTGTTTACTTTTTTTTAACCCCCTTCCTTTATTCACAATGTGCTACATCAGAGGCATGGCCGGCGGCAGAGCAGACGACACTATGGGAACAAAAATGCAGGGACGAGATTGGGGGGTTTACATTAGCCGCAAAAGGTGCTCCCTTACTGAGCGCCAAGGAAGAGCGCCAGGAAGCGACCTGCAGAAGAAATGTATTGAATTGATTGGACTTGGCAGCTGGAGAAAAAATAGAGATAGTTCAAGACAGACGGCAGCAATTCAAATCCCCAAGTCTACTGTGCACGAAATACTCCTTCCACTAAAGGTACTCAGCCCAACACAACATGCAGTCATTCCTAGTGTAACGTCGGGGACAAGGGGTCGAATCCGTTTTGTGGACCCCGGGGGCGGGATACGGTAGGGATCGTGCGGGAAGTGGATCGCCCTCAGTAAGGTAAGGAGGTGTCGTGGGTGTATCTCCGTAGGCGTACCGTGTACGTACCTCACATGGGAGTGGGTCTCCAGTCGGCGGGCAGCGCCAGATCTCTCGGAGGAGGAGTGAGATGGTTGGACGGGAAAGATGCAAAGGATTTGGAGGGGGGGGTGGTGGGTGGAAAGAAAGGATTCGGGGCGTGGGGGAAAATGCTCACTTTTATTTTCGCTCTTGGGTTGGTGGCATTCTTTTTCCCTTTCCTATCTTCCCTTTGTACCTTACTATGGCAGACCCTAAGTAATGGACAATCAACTTGCCAAATCATTGCAGACTTACTCTCCCGTCATACAATGACCCAAACGAGCTCAAATCCGCTGCGAGAGAAAGCGCGCTCTTGATCATCCGGACGGTTTCAACCAAGACCGCGACAAGTACTTCAAGACAGAAAAAATATGGACAGACTTTGAGGATTATGTAGCCCCAAGTTGAGCGATGGATCCTTCCGAAAACCTTGAACTGCATCCTGCGTCTATTGCCCTCCGTCACTGGCTGGGCTACCGAGAGGGGGTGGGCGCCACGGCGGTAGTGTCGTCAATCGTGTTCAATCGTATCGGTCGTCCCAACCACAAGCTGCTTATCTAAACAGAAATCCAACATGAATCATGAAGGGTGTCCAAGCCGTCAGATTTCCAAGTCATGAAGAAGCGGCGCCGTCGTCACCCGAGAAATGTCAGCAATTCGGTAGAAGGGCGGTAAAACTATGGAATCCTGTGGGAGCGAACATGCAGAGAGTATGTAGCTTGAACGGATGGAGTACACCCGGTGTGAGATGCTCTTTTTTTTCCGAGTTCAGGCGGTGCATGCATGTTTAGTGCGAGCTTATTGTGGTGGTGATATGGTAAAAAGGTCGAAATCTGGTATGCGGCTAGCGATCTCTATGAACCGCGTTGGCTAGATGATTGACGCAGGCGCGCGAGTGGTTCAAGGCAGCGGCAGCGCAGTACAGCCTAGTACAGCCTTAGTAAGCTAGGTCGGGGCTTTACACGTTGAGATGCAAGATTCCAAGCAGCTTGCTTCTTGTCTATGGAAGATTAAAGTCGCAGTTGCACCAGGGTGGGGGGTTGGCAGAGGGCAACCGCTGGCCATCGCGTTCTGCTGATCAATATCGAAGCTTCCTGAGAACAGGGCCTTTTGCAACCTTTTCCCACCCGCACCACGTGCCAAAGATGGGACTGTCTCTGGCCAGAATTCGTCCCACCGCAGTGACAAAGTCAGATCATTGCTTGGCTTTGCCTATCAATGCTTGATTCAAACTTGAAAATCCAGCACGGTTCCCAGAACTGTTATCTTGGCCTTGGAATCCTCTCAGACTCCGCCGCCAAAAGAGAAAAAAAAAAGGGTAGAGAAGTCATTGCAATTGAAGTTGTTTTTAGATATCCGATACTGAAAGGCACCGACGATTCACCTCCGCACCGCCCGCACTCCAAGTGCCGGAATCGGCTCCTAGTGTCGGCTCCTGAAGCAATCACGCCTGTTTTTTTCTTTCTAATTGCCGCGTGGCTGTAGCCCGATCCTCCCGCTCACACGCGCAGAGAGGAAGAGGGAGGAGTACGACGGGAATTTTTTCTGTGAGGATCGCAAACGTCAGCCCTTGTAGGAAAACACACGAGCGGGAGGGATGGGCATCCGTGGAAACGTTGGACCAGGAAGAAAGCCATTGACGGTGGACTAATAAACCACCGTAATACCGTGGCGTTTTCCAAGGGAAAAAAACCTCCTGCCTCGCAAGCGAGACGGAGGAGGATCCTCAGCACCACGCTCCTTCCCGATGATGTGATTTGTCGCTTAACCGCGTAGAAGCCAATTAGCATCAAGATTATTGAGTAAAGAGGAAACTACCAGGGCAACTCCGCAACGGTTCGCTCCGTCTTTTGTTTCGACAAGGCAGCACCTTGCTACCTGCATTGCAAGGTAGGCAATTGACGACATTGGTAATCTTGTCCACAAAAATATCCAAGCTTTTAGAGAACGGGAAACAAATGATTGCCTGATGTCCGATGCCGCAGAGACGAGGTGGGCAGAGGCGAGATCTGCAACTTCCTGAAAGGGGCCAGGTCGAGGCAGCCGCGCCGGGTGCCGATGCTGGTCAGGAAGCGGGGGCCGGCCGGTTGTCAGAAGTGGGTCTCTCGAATCACCCCCCTCCACCCCTCCGCCCCTGTTCAGCCACACTCAATTGCAACAACCCAACGAGACCATTCATTCTTTATCGGCATCGAAGGCAAGGTTTGTCGGCGTCTGCCTATGGTAGAGACGGCGCGTTCGACCGTCATCTGTATTAGTCTGCATTTGCTTTTGGTGTCGTCATATCAATTGCGGCACTACCTGTGTTCTGTTGTTGTTCACCACGAGGCGAGGCGATGCGACGGCGTGAACAATTTTTCAAGTATTTCACTCATTTCCCGATAGGGCCCTTGCAGTATCTCTCACGCGGACTGGATGATTTGACCTCATGCTTGAAAGAAATGCTTCTGCCTGAACCTGACCCAGTCGCCAAGAAGGTCACCTTGACTGTTGGAGCCCCTGGTTTCCGCAAGCAAGAGGAAGCAGAGAGGAGCTTTGCCGCATGCGCATGCACCTCATGTGCTGAAGCTTCTGCGGGCCCAGTGGCTCAAGGAAATGACCATGTCATGGCGGCCGACCTGTTTGGGGCATCAGAAGAACGTCCTGGCGTCTTGGAGCTGGATGATGTGATGATCTCTAGGTCTGGCCTCTGGGTGTTCATGATCACCGCTGCATCCAACCGAGGGGCCGCCGCTGTGGACAGGGCCTTCTGAGACTGTCCGGCATGACTGGGGCTTTGGGGGCACGTCGGATTTCCTCGGACTTGGTTCTGTTATTGACCCATCAGCTGAGCAGAGCAGAAGACTCGAGAGGCGGAGAGAAGCCCAAACAATGTGCGACTTCTCAATCAGAGCGAAACCAACATATCCTTCGCCCCCGTCTCCCGTCCAGACACGGCAGCACTACCTACCTCAGCGGAGGAGATGCAACAGCTGGCACTTCTTGAGCAAGCAAGTAGATATCTTCAATCGGCTGAAGGGATTTGTTTCAGCATCGCTAAAACTCGTTAGCGCACCTGGGCTACTGACGCTCCCCAGACTCTCTTCTCCGTCATTCACCTCGAAGGAGACCCCCGCCAACCCCTGCCACCCCAGTCTCTTGGGCCGTGCACATGGATCTATTTCGGGAGATACCCCTAGTCGGAGGATCCCGCTTTTTCCGCCGCTGGCAGGGGGCCGGAAAAAGAGTCAGCCCCACCTCCTCACCTTGCTGGGAACCTTAGCACCTTACTACGTGCCTTAGTATGTACTGAGGTAGCGTCGCTTTCACAGTGTGTCCTGCACCAAATGCATCTTCGTCCTGCCCCCAAATGAGTTGCACGCAAGGCAGTCAGTCCACGCCTTCGCCATGATTCCTCACCTCTCCACCCCGTCATCCCACTCCTCGACTGCACATCAAGTCACACTCCCATCCATCAAACCCCAGCATTTGCCGTTTCTATCTCCCCCTGGGTCCTTTGCTGCACAGCAGGCTACCTTAGTCTCTATCCTGCGGGCCCTGCAGGGTAACCGAGGCCGCACCAAAGACGGCCTGACGAAAAGCCCGTATACGGCGACCTACCTTGTCTTAGTCAGGGTCGCCGTGCCGTTGGCTTCCTCTGCAACCCCCAAAACCCTGAAACAGCCCCATTCTCAACATCGTGCATCAACTGGGTAGAGACTCGGGCCACAGCACCGGACGCATCAGAGCCGGCACTCTATGCGAAGCGTCCTGGTTCGCACATCAGTTGTGCACCTCAATGTCGTGGTATCCCGAGAATTCGATACCTGATGTCGCAAGGCCATCACCTACCCTCGAGGCTGTCATACGTTCCACAACATACCCGCCTCAACGCGGGACAGGACCTTCGAGATCAGACGAAAGAAAGCACGGCCTCAGGCAAAAGCTTGGGATGAACCAAAGTCCATCCGTAAGGGCGCTGGCCAGTAAGGTTCCCTTTTTACGGCAGCGAATCAGGGTTTACTTTTCAACGTCCGTAGCTCTTCTCTACCAAAGGTACACTATGTCCGCCAGCAATCCTCCCGACGACGCAGGAATAGTCTAGTAGGATTCCAACAACCCGCAAATCTCCAACAAACAAACTTCTCACCACCGTAGATCTGTATCCTTTACGAGGGAGACAGCAACTCGACCGTCGCAACCGCAACCCAACACCACCATCACCCCCATCCTTCACAGCATGCCAGCCGTGCCAGCTCAACAACGCACCTGCTCTCTAGTCCCCCGGCTACTCGGCCTTCCGGCTCTCCCCTCTCCCCAAGCGCTCCGAAAATCTGACGTACGAGTGCAGTCGCGCTGTGCTCAAGGCATCAAGGTTCTCACTCCATCCCAGGGCGGTTTCTTCCCCAAATTTCTCTGCCTCTCTCTCACACACACCCGCGAGAGAGCTCAGCCTTCACGTCACTCACTGACCAAATCGAGGAATTCGCGCTCCCTCATCCCGCGCCGCCCATTCACGGCTTACGAGAGAAGCGCGCAGCAGGTCCCGATACCGCTACTTCTTCCCGTTGGATTCGCACCAGTCGGAGATTTTCTTACGGCTCTTCAGCTCCATGCTGAAAGCCATTCAAAATAGAGTGAACCTGTCTTCGCACCCGTGGACGAATGAACAACAGCAGCTCACCTTCACCCTTCTAGGACTTTCGTACTCGGTGACAATTCTAGTACAGCATCTCGAAGGATACCTCCGTTCTGAGATCGACCATAATGACGATTCGGAGCCTTTCGACAGTACAGTCGAATCACGGATTCCAACTCCTCCTTCTCCACAATCCTCGCCTAATGAGGCCGCATTGAGACCCAGACAGGGTCTTTGCAACTCCTTGACAGCGCAGATCTTTCCCACTCAGTCTTATCAGGCTGACATCCAAAGTGGCCCCCTCTCGCCATCACGGAGAACCCCCGACATTGCTCGCTGCCTTTGAATATCCCCACCCAGAACTAGGTAACCGAAGGGCGGCCGACTGCGAGGGCAAAACTTCTGGAGTCCTTGCTCTTGCTTGCTTCCAACAAAACCTCAACACGCAGAAACAGTCACAGTGCAGAGATAGCGGTGCATGGCCCCGTCGAACCCAAGAACAAGGCTTAGGCATCCTTCCCAGCCTCTATTCCCAGCGCTCCGGGTCTCATGAAGTTCGCTAATGCTACTGCTGCTGCTGCTGCTGCTACTGTCCATAGTTATTCTCGTCTTGCCGAGGTATCTTCACTGCAACGTCGACTTGACTTCTGACCCAATCAACCGGATTGTCGTTATAACCCCATCACCATGGACGTGACGGACGCGAGACAGAGAAATAGATAGAGAAAGAGGAATCACCCAGAGTAAGCGCAGCTAATCCTCCGTCGTGAACGTCCGTAAATGGAGACACAACGCCGACTACATTGAAGCCCCCGAATGCGACGCTGAGGCGTTTTGGTTCACTCCTGAGCCCTTTGGCTACCTTAGTTGACTGGCGTTTTGAGTTGATGACCGTGAATTGTGGTCGGCGCAATCCTCGACAAACCACCATAGGTAACAAAACACACAGTCTTACTGTTTGACCAGCCTTGTAATCCGTCGAACTTTTGCATTTGTTTTTTTGGCGCTTGCTTCGCAGAGGTGAGTTGAATGGGTCAGACACAAAAGGTCCTGCTTCTCGAGTAGGGATGACCCCTTGTGCTGTAGATCTTTGGAAAAGGCCCATCTATTTTCAGCTATAGACAGTGGCTTGTTGACCCTGTCGATAGTAGAGCTGAACCGATTCGGTGTGGCTGGGGGGGATGCGGCTAGTGCCGAGCTGCAGATTGGTCGCTGGGATGGACCATGATGGACGACCTGATTCCGCTCTCGATTCCACTGACCCTTGCCCGCGGCATGCCTCTCAATTGGCTAGGGATTCAAAAGCGTTGAAGCAAGTGATGCTGATATTCTATTCTATTTGACGCTGTGTTCCTTGTGGGCAGAATTGCAGTTACCCTCTGTTATCGCTGATGACGACCAAGTGCCAATCGCTCAATTGTCAATCTACAAGACCCCCTTTCCTTGAATGTCAATTCAAGCCTAAGTAGTGATTGTAGAAATACCTTCCATGGTGCCGCATATACCATGCTGATACAGCCAATGGCCAGCGTCAAATCTGCTAATCGTCCAGCCCGGCCGTGGGTTTCCTTCCTGGCCGACCCGTACTGCCTCGAGGCCGCACGGCTTTGTGTACGTGAGGAGGCTTGGTCGTACAATCAGACTGGAACTGTAGAGTTCTTTGTTGCACTCTATCCTGACAGTACACTCCATTTCCATCTTGTCATTGTATGGCGTTCTGGGCGGGGCGGACAAATCCCAGTCTTGACATGAAATGCTGCTCGGACTGGTGCTGGAGTCGCTCTCGTTGCTTGAATTATCGCTGTTGGGATAGCTGCTGGAATCGCTCCCTTTGCTGCCGTGAGACGTCTCCTTGAGAAAGAAATCGTCGTCGAGAACTTCTTCCTCACCAATCATCCCTATGAACCATAAGCAGAGAGGTCTGACGTCCTTCGCGAGCTGTTCCTGGGCATCATCGATTTGCTCTTCAATGGAAAGGGACCCTATGCTGATGATGCGCGGTTTTCGGGTCGGCGGAGATGCGGCGAAGCGCATTCGCAGGGCATCAAGTACTCCCCACATGCCCTTTTCGCTGATGTAGGCGTCGCATTTGTCACCCTCCTCTGCGGGAACCTCCTAGGTTCTGAAGCCTCCAATGCCGTACACAATCATGTGGACGGGATCTCCTCCAAGTTCCTCTGGGAAAAGAACTTCGGCTGCAGTTTTGGGACTCAGGCTTGCCGGAACAATTCTCAGTCGATTGTAATACTCCATTTTGAAATCGTCTGCGTCGCAAAACATCTCCTAGAGACTTGCCTCGCTTCTGACATCTGTAACAATCAACTCTGAGCTTCGATAACGTGCGTGAAATGTGCGAGAGTAAGAGAAGATGGCGGTGAAGACCAGAATTGGAACATATCACTGCGAATGTGAACTTTGAGAAGCAAAGGCTTTACTTACACACATGGCAGAATATAGAGATGTTCTGGAGAGCATGCATGAGACACCTGAACACGGTATACCCCGTTGCTCCAAAGAAAGCGACATGGCACAAGGGTTGACCGATTGGGGTATTTGGCGTACTTCGCGAGACAGTTGGGCGAAGCGGTATAGACGATTGAATGCTGAGGTGGAGGCCGGGGCCAAATTTGATGGGGTGGCGTGGGAAGAAGCCATATTCGACGCGATTGTCACTAATATCTCCGACTCGGTGCCCAAGGACAGAGGAATGACGTGTTGCCATCTTCATGGAAATGAAACGCTGCAGGGGAGATCCTGCTGTCGAAACGCCGCAATCCGATGAGTTGATTCGATGATGAGAAGGTTTGGTAAACAGTGGCGAAGCTATATGGGGCCTAAGTACTTGACGGTGGACGCAAATAGGCGTGGCAGAAGTGAGCTCGAGGCACGGTAAGTACCCCAGGAACACGACCTTAAGGGGAAATAGCCCGAGATGAGGCTGATGGAGCTGATCCAAGAAGTTGAAGGTGAATGGCGGGCAATGGCAAAGCAAAACGTAGTACACTAAGAATGGATGGCAAGATGGCGATTGACCGCTGCTGGATGATGTGGTGTTAATACGAAGGAAGAGGCACAGCGGGAAAATCTCCAATAGGCGCGTACTACCTAGGTTCGCTCCCATGCTACTGATTTGAGTTTTTCCAGCGGACGGAAGGATGAGCCCATCAATGTCGGTCCGTTGGAAGGAAGGGCTCCAGGAGGATGCCGTACCTGCTGCTTCGGCGAAGTGGGTTTTCGAGGTACCTTAGAAGGCACCATCGATCAAGAGGGAATTTGAGAAAGGAGATATAGATGCGGAAGGATGGATATGCAGGCGGAAACCCGGATAGAGTCTGAGCAGTGATCCAAAGTGGGGTGCATACTTTCTCACCATCTAACCAGAGCTGTAGTGCCATGTCAGTTGCAAAGCGCCGGGGTCTCCGTAGTCATCGAGAGATGTGGCAGGGCCGCTCTGGTATGACCTTGGAAAGATCGTCGAAGGCGAAGGAAGCATTACATAGAGCAGGGGAAATACCTACCCTTTTTCCGTATGTGCGCCCTGGATCGAGGTAGCTGCACTCCGAGCTGCACTCCGATGTAAGCGCGGAAGGCTTCTTCTGCGACCATGACCTAGGCGGCGCGGTGGCTTGGGAAAGACACTCGGCGTTGGCTGTCTTCTGGGTCCATAGAGAGGGTACACGATGCGGAGCAAGGCAACGACGGCCGATGCAGTGCCATGCAGGAAGAGGGCGAGAGAGAAAGAGAGAGAGAGAGAGAGAGAGAAGCCTCAGACACGATGCATGCAGTAATGCGATACACAGCACAGGGCTGAGATGACACGATGATATGTCGCCTGGGCTTGGCCTGCAGGTGGACTTCCCTTACGGTCGGCTGCGTTTGGCAGCGGAAGCAATGCAATCTCCCACCTCGCGTTTCAGGTCTTGTTGGGACCGAATGGTGATCAAGGCATGGATTTCTCAGTAGAGCCTAGGATATGACCGGGGGCAGATAACGGAGTTTGTGTACCTAAGGTATGAAGAGACGGAAAGCAGATGAGCGCCGGAGGTGCGGGGGTACCAAATGAGGATGACGATGATGAACATGTCGAGATTCCATGTGGACTTGGTCCCGAAGAAAGGCAAAACGCAAGAAACCCTGTGAAGAATGAACCAGTTAGGGAGATAGGTAGGGAGCGTGTGTGAGATGGAGTCGGGACTTGAGGTTATTGTGTTGCCTGTTGGGAGCAGCGGGACGGTGCAGCGCGCGATGAGACGTTGATGCTGCGAAGGTGCACCAACAGACCTGGCTGTGTTTTCGCGCCCCAGAGCCCCTCAGCATGCAGCGTTCTAAACACTGTCTGTCGAACTGTACGAATATTCGGGAAGGATTCTGCCCGAGGGGTGAAACACGCCTGGGTGTTAATCTCATCAGAACGGGACCATGAAGCAGGGGTCGCTTATCGAGCCAATGAAAAACAAAGACCTTCCACGCTTACCCTGCGGTGCCTGGCCCCGCTCTCTGCCCCTGCCCGACTGACTGCGGCCACTGACGGTTGACGCGCATCTGAACTTGGTGATGAGCCGCCAGACGAGATGCGCTGAAGGGCAACACAGCGCCCTGTGAGTCCGTGACTAAGCCGACAGTTCGCCCGTCAACCAACCAGCTGTGCAGTGACGCCTTGTTCTACCTCTCGTTCTGTTTCTCTCTCTCTCTCTCTTCTCATCATCCTCTCAGTCGACTGCACCCAGAATGCACGCAGGACCTATTCACGGCTCAGTCATCATGTCAGACACGCAGCTATTTCCACCCGCTGCATGTCTTCTGCCAAGGCGAGACGGCTGAATCATTAGGCATTCAATACCCAAATGTCTTCACCACGGCGAATCAGGCGCAGGACTTTGTCTGGAAGACGAGATGGGACGAAGCTCAATGCAACTTTGACAACTGCAGCGCCTGTAGAGCAGAGAGATCTTCTCGAGCAAGACACGACGGAAAGCCAAGTTTGTTAGTCCTGTACGCTATGGATTGTCTCCGCCTCAGTCAGCATAGCTCGAGCATCCAAGCTGTTTGGCCGACCCTCGCCGATCATGTACAAACGTCAATCAATCTCCTCAATTGGCGAAAGTCTTGGTTCTGTGGCATAACTTCCCAGTCGACTTGTGCAAATCGTACAGCTACTTCCAGCGACTTCGGTCTTGTACCTTCAATGTACCTTGAGATGAACCCTTGGAAAGCCTCCATCTGGTAGGCTGGGGAAGGATGACGGGATGACATCCACACAGCCGCCATCCCGTCCTAGCTCTCCACCTCTCCGAACCTCGACTCACGCCACCCCGCTGTGGGACCGTTTTCCTTCTTCAATCTCTCGTTACTGAAGCTGTCTTGCTCCGTCCAAGCCGCGGCTGTGAGGCGCTCTCCGCGATATACGCTCGTCTATTCGTCAGCCCTATCATCTCCGTACTGCTATTGCACATTGGGACCCGTGCTTCTGCGTTCCCTCTCACCCTTGTTTTAGTTGCCTACCCTTTGCCATGGGTTCGGCTAACAATGCCTCCGTCAACTTGCACCAGAATGTGCTGCGGCTATCGCTGCTTCCACTTGCATCATGAGCACCGAAATAGTAGCCTCCGGAGTCATTCGGAGGCTCACAACTGACCGGAAACCATCTCCGGACAGCTTCGGAAATCTTCAGCGCGATACCCTGGCTGAGGGGCCTTGTATGCCTTCAATGGCAGGTGCCATTATCCTGAGGAACACCCATGTCTGCTGGAGGGGCATTCGCATCTCCTCATCAACATATAAGCTTAGGTTGCAGTTCTTCTTAACCTGTTTTCCTCTTCACTCTCAACCCATCATCTCTCATAGACTCAGTCGACTCTTCACTTCATGATCTTCAACCAGCAAAGTATCGAAGAGTTCCAGTTCCGGGGACCTTCTCTTACCTCAACCATCATCTTTTGATTCAGAGCATCCAACTTGTTTGCGGAAGGTTTTATTTCTTCCCTCGCCCCTGAACTCAACTCTCGATACTTGATATCAACTCTTTTGTTCTGATAGCTGGTCAACTGCCTTCGATCACGAACCACAATCGACAATCCTCTTGTCGACCAATTCCTCAGCAGACTAAAGAATCCAGCCAAGCATCCCAAGCTCATATAAACGTAGCTTTTCCCCGCTTCGCAACCGATCAAAATGTCTGCCCGAGTCAACGCCTCTGAGAATGACCCCACCGTCATCGTCGGCCTTGCTTGCCGAGTCCCTGGCGCTTCCAACCCCAGCAAGCTCTGGGACCATATTGCCGCCCAGCGAGATGTCCAGCGCAAGATGCCCGAGGACCGCTTCAATGTAGACAACTACTGTGAGCATCTTTGTCATCTCTGACACATATCAAGGCGACTGACGATTTTTCTACAGACCACCCTGATGGCACCCGCAAGGGAACCGTGAGTTGATTCCTCCAGAAAAGACGTCACACACACAGACTAATCCAACGAATCTAGACAAACGCTCGATTTGGCTACTTCCTCGAACAGGATATTGCGGAATTCGACAACTCCTTCTTCGGCATTTCTGGAAAGGAAGCCGATGCCATGGACCCTCAGCAGCGCCTGCTGCTCGAGGTCGTCTACGAGGCCTTGGAGAATGCTGGTATCACTCTTCAGGACATCAGTGGTTCCCAGACTTCCGTTTTCTGCGGTAGCTTCACCAACGATTATCTTTCCATGACTGGCAAGGACTTGACCGCGAACTACCCAATGTACCATGCCACTGGTACCGGTAACGCCATTCTGTCCAACCGAATCTCGTACTTCTACAATTTGCACGGAACCTCCATCACTCTTGACACCGCCTGCTCATCTTCTCTTGTCTGCTTCCACCTTGGGTACGTTTCCGATTGTCTGGTTCTTGATTTTGTGATATCCGGTCTTCGAAGCTAATAATCTTTCGTCTCTAGCAACCAATCGCTGAAGAATGGCGAGGCTGATATTTCCATCGTTGTCGGCTCTGCCCTCCACTTTGACTCAAACATTTACATCACGATGACGGACCTTGGCATGCTCTCCACAGACGGTCGCTGCCGTGCTTTTGATGCTTCGGGAAGCGGCTACGTCCGTGGCGAGGGTATCTGCGCAGCCATCCTCAAGCGCCAGAGTGCCGCCGAGGTTGCTGGCGACAACATTCGCGCCATTGTAAGAGCTACCGGAAGCAACCACGACGGCCGAAAGAATGGCATCACTTTGCCCAACAGCATTGCCCAGGAGGACCTCATTCGTTCCACTTACGAACAGGCCGGTCTCAACCCGCTGCACACCCAGTATTTCGAGGCACACGGCACCGGTACCGCTGCAGGCGACCCTATTGAGACTCGCGCTATCGGCGCAGTTTTCTCGCCCGGCCGAAGCAACCCTTTGTATGTGGGCTCCGTCAAGACCAACATTGGTCACCTCGAAGGTGCTTCTGGTCTTGCAGGTCTGATCAAGACTACTCTTGCGCTTGAGAACGGACAGATCCCCCCCAACATGCACTTCAACAACCCGAACCCAAAGATCATGTTCGATGATTGGAAGATTGCTGTTCCTACCAAGATGACTCCTTGGGAGGTGCCAGAAGGCATTGCCCGAAGAGCCTCGATCAACTCTTTTGGTTACGGCGGTACCAACGGACATGTCGTCTTGGAAGAGTACAAGAAGAACACCGCCCCCAAGACTCGCTCTAACACCGCCATCGAGAATGGCGTTCATGCCCGCCCATACCTCGTCCCGCTCACCTCCCACTCCGCAAAGGCTGGCGAGCTCACCGAGGAGACACTGAAGAGGTACCTCGAGCAGGGAGATGTCCACGTCGCCGACCTTTGCTATAGTCTGGCCACGCGTCGTACTCTCCACGGTCAGAGGTCTTTCGTTGTTGCCAACGACGCAGCGTCACTGGCCGAGCAATTGACCATTGCTCGCCCTGCTGCTAAGTGGACTCTGGCCAACAAGACTTCCCCTAGACTTGGCTTCGTCTTCACCGGCCAAGGTGCCCAGTGGTTTGCTATGGGTCGCCAGTTGATTGAAGAGAGCCCCCTGTTCCGCCAGAGCCTGAAGCGCTGCGACACCATTCTGCAAGCCCTTCCCGATAGACCTGAGTGGTCCATTCTCGAGGAGCTTTGCAAGACCAAGGAGACTACTCTTCTCGGCGAGACCCTGTACTCTCAGACCATCTGCACTGCTTTGCAGCTTGCCTTGCTCGAAGTCCTCAAGGCATGGGGCATTACCCCTTCGGCTGTTGTCGGTCACTCTTCTGGTGAGATGGCTGCCGCTGCCGCCGCCGGTATTCTAACCTTTGAGAACGCCCTCATTGCCGCCTACTACCGCGGCCGCTACATGTCTGCCCCGAATGAGAATGGAAAGCCCGGTGGTATGATGGCTGTCGGCCTCACCGAGGCAAAGGCCCTCGAGGAGCTCAAGCCGTATAAGGGTCGCCTTTGCATCGCCGCTGTCAACTCTCCAAGCACTATGACGATCAGCGGTGACGAGGATGCTATTCTTGAGCTCAAGGACAGTCTTACAGAGAAGAAGGTCTTTGTCCGTCAGCTCATTGTCAAGCAGGCTTTCCACAGCCACCACATGAACGCTTTGGCTGGT